TTAGAAGTTCTGAATGAGCTATGAGCTCTATATGAGCTACACATATAGTTTTCAAATGAGGGCATCAAAAGAAAATAGACAAATCACAAAAGAAGGAAGGTAATGACTAATAAATGTATTTTTTAAAAACCTTTCACCTCCCTAATAATACAAAGATTGAAAACAAAATAATACTAAAAAAGTTTTTATGATAAAATATAAAATATAAAAGTCAAAGTTAGCTCTCTGTGTTGGCCAGTGCTGGGATAAGGAGGCAAATGCTATATCGCTCGTGAAGAAAACTGGTATAATAATCCTCTTTGGTGGGGGTGATTTGGAAATCTATATTAAGAACCTTAAAACTGTCTTTTGAATCCAAAACACATCTAGGAGTTTATCTTTAATAAATAATCAGAGATGTATGGAATGATCTATTAGGAAAAGGAGGAAACAACCTTGATCTCCAAAATACAGCACTTGCTGAAGTGATAGTAACAGTCAATAAAAGGAATACGATGTAGTCATTAAATATGCTCTAGGAGGATCATAATGGTTTGAAAAGTTGCTCACAACATATTTTATGATAAAGAAATTACATAAAAACCCACTTTTGTGAAAGGAAGAAATGTGTACATTAATTACATTGAATCTAAGATACTGTCGATTATTAAATATATCATTTTTTTGCCATTAGGAAACAAACAAACAAATGTTCCCAATTAAATCATGAGCCACAGATTGTAGGATACATCATGACTTCAGAGATGTCAAAATTAAATATGTATCCTAGAATTAATAAAATACTATATTGTGTCATATTCCTTTCATTGTAAAATAAGCTGCCCCCCCCATTTTAATACAGTCTGTTAATTTTAGGGAAGCATTTTATGATCAAGGTATACATTTAGTGTAGTGTTTCTCCCACCACCACCACCCACCTAAAAATCATTAGGATCAAGAAAATATTCGATATGGATCATATCTGCATAAAACATTTGTAAGGAGTCAATTATACTTCACGTAAAAACAACACAAAACAAACAATCATAAGGATATATGCCAGAATATTAACAGTAGTTTTCTCTGAATGTTAAGGTTGCAGAGAATATTTACTTTCTTACTTTGGTTTTCCTATAATTTCTATATTTTATAAAAAAAAAAAAGCTTAAAAATCTGAACAAGACAACACCATGAATTCCCAGATTAGTCCAATCTCATGTAGAAATAAGCAGGATCACTCAAGCTCAGGTATCATGGGTTCCTATTCTCTGTCCTCCCAAAAACTGGGCACACTCAGAGTAGAAAGCACGAGGAGTCGAGAGCAACTAGCAGTTCATCTACCACACTTGGGGGTTCATCCACTTTAAAAGACCGTGTCCATGAAAGACAGCTCCTTGGTAAATTGATCTTACCCACCTATTTCACCTTCATCCCTTTCCAACACCCAATCAAACCTCTAAGAGAGATGGCAAATAGCTCTTCTTTTAAATGCCAGTTTTGATGGATTAGTAAGGGCTTCTTGGAGCACCCTGATAGAAAAACTCCTTAGGCTAAGTTGGAGTTCAGGAAGGAGTTGCCTAGTTGATTAACTATACCTGGAAGGGATCTCAGTAGTCTAAGTATTACATATTTGCCAGCCCTGAAAAGATTGTCTCTACTTTATTCTTGCTCCTTTATCTTTAAGGAGACCACCTATTTTTCCAACCAGTAAAATTCAAGAGATCCTAACCAGACTAAGGACTATATTATAAGGGCCTGGATTGTTGCTGTTAATGCTAAACTAAGTCCATCCTAACAAAGACAATGCAAACTTGCAAGACAGCCTACACACTACGGCATTATATTTTAAAGCTGAATATCACATACATTATGATGGGGGTAATTTTCACTCCTAGGATACACACGTTATGTATCTGTTTACTAAGAAATAAAATAAAAAATGTCCATTGCAACCACTTGCAGAAGAATGGAAAAATAAAGTGTGGTACAAACCAACACTTTAGTAACACAAAACCATATGGATGAATAAGAAAGCTAACACTGAGTGAAAGAAGCAAGTGGCATAAAGTCATATGTGATATTATACCCTTGTTTCAAAGATCAAAAATAAAACACAAAAACTAAATTATAAATTGTTTAGGAATAGGTACACATGTGATAAAACTATTAGTCAAAAGCCAAGGGAATAATAACATAAAATTCAAGATACTAGTCACCTTTGTGACAAGCCAGGGATTGGATAGGGAAAGATAAAGATGCAATATAATGGCATGCTCTAGTTAAGCAGGATGATGGTTTCATTGGTGCTCATTTATTATGTTTCCTAGATGTTCATTTATTGTTACGTTTCATAACATTCATACATACAATATAAGTCATGTATTGTTGGAAATAATTTTCATTTAATATAGCACTCAACTAAAAATAAAATCTTTCCTCCTGTTTATGTTTGGAGGGTAGGGTAGAAAGTCTGGCTTGCAATAACATGGATTAGAATGTGCCTCTTCTGTGAGTCACTCAGTCCTACCTCCCCACTTGGGTTTCTCTTCTACAGCGGCTGAGTCTCACCAGGAGGCTAAAATGGGAGGACATGATGCGCAAAATTTTCCTTTGCTGCCTCTCCAGGCTGTCCCAGGTACACCCAAAGAGCAGCCCCTTCATCTTTGCAGGGACAAATTTGGGAAAAATCACTTTTTAATATGTCTTCTAGATTTTTTTCAATCATTTTAAAGATCATTTACCCTAATAATCTCAGTTTTTATTATTATAATAGTAATATAACATTTTGTTAGCATGTTATCTCAGTGTACACTAAAGTTGTTTTGTAGTTACAACTTCAAAGGAATGATGATCTATTTACGGTAAGAAACACATGTAAACATCCCAAATGTTCAGTCATAAAGAAGTGGTAGGCAGCCATTAAATACTATATTATGAAGGGAACTTAGTATCAAAGAAGCAGCTAAATTATTAAATGTAAAACATCATTGTTTCTATAGTAAGATCCCAGCTGTGTAGTAAAAATGAAACCTATGTTTTAAAATAAGCTGGAAGGACATATACAATAATGTTTAGGGTTAGTATCTTTGTGTGAAGATACATATTTTTTCTTCTTAGTTTTCTTTTTTTTTTTTTTAAAGATTTTATTTATTTATTTGACAGAGAGAGAGCACAAGCAGGGGAAGCAGCAGAGGGAGAGGGAAAAGCAGGCTCCCCATTGAGCAGGGAACCCAACCTTGGGCTCAATCCCAGGACCTTGAGATCATGACCTGAGCTGAAGGCAGAAGCTTAACCCACTGAGCCACCCAGGTGCCCCAACTCCAAACATTCTTAAAAGGGATACTAATTGGCTATTAGGGAACTGGAGGCACCCATGGAAGTATCCTATATAAGGCAATGTGGCCATTCAGTGGTAGCACCAAGATCAGAGTTGAGAGTTTCCCAGCTTTTCAGTCTTAATTCCAAATTCAAATGACTCCTCAACTGCACACATCTCCAGCCATGAAACATACACATGTAAATTAATCAAGTAAGATAAGCTCCCATTGAAGAGGTATTACTGTTACCTCAGCCCCCCTTATAGTACACCGGTGACAGTCAGCCATATATTCCATTCACTGCCTTCTCCCTAAGGTCCTGGTACACAGGAGAAATGAAAATCTGAATACTAATCAAATTATCTCTGAAAAGCAGTGCCCATTCTCAGGATGGTAAATACACTGAGCCAACCACAAAGCCTAGATTGTCAGAGGCCATCTTGATTCAGATCATACCAATGTGAGACAGGTCACCCCATCTTTGGGCTTGGAGAATATTGTTATAATTTAATCACTTGGCTGTTTTTTTTTTTTTTAAATAAAGATTTAATACTAATTTAAAAGTTTGGTAGTCAAGTAGAGACATGGTTGTGGAGAAATGGGGATGTAAATTTAATGCAGCTGCTTTGGAGAGCCTATTAAAATAGAAATAGCACACTTTATGGCACAATTCCTTTTCTAGCCATATATCCTGAAGAATAACCACACACGTGTACAAGTGGGCATGATCAAGGATTTTAACTGCAGAAATGTTTGTTTTTATGAAAAACTGGAAACCACCAAATGTCTCTCAAAAGGGAAGTAGATAGATAAGTTTTCATGTAATTATAGGGTAGAATATCTACAGCAGTTAAAATTGGCAATCCACACAGCATATGGGTCAACATGGATAGATCTACACGTGGGTAAAAGAAAAGATCTTCAAGGATTTAAAATAATTATCTATAGACTTATAGTTTCCATAAACATATCTAAAACATGTTGTTTAGTGAAAAGAGTAAGTTCCAGAATGACATTTGAAGTCTGACACCACCTCTGTTAAAAAAAAAAAAAAGACAAACTACAGCTATACATTTCTGATAAATGCAGATATACATTGTATACATTGTGTATCATAGTACAAGAACATTCTTGAAGGAAACACATTAAAATCATAACAGGTATTACCTCTGAGGAAAGACAGAGACGACTGGGGTTAGGGGTGGGAGATGTAAAAAGGGCTTTCAACTTCATTGGTGATACTCTAATTTTTCAAATGTAAATGGATTCCAGTGTTGTATATTTACAATTGATTTTTTAAAGTCTCTGCAATTACTTTATGCTCTAATATATTGATTAAACTCAAGAAGCTAAAAACATGGAGCCTTCTGTAAGAAAATGTTTCCTACAGCACCACACCCACCTTTCCAATCCCCTTCTCTCTGCCCTTCCCACACACAGCACACCCATTCAGCCAAGTTCAATGGGACTGTGAGAAAGTACCCCAAAGCCTTTGTTCACCTTTACAACCCTCCCAGGGACCAGAGTAAATCACATTAGCAATGACTCTTTGCAGAAAAAGTGATGCCAGGAAACAGCTGTCAGAAGTGCCATTTTGTTAAAAATGATCACATGGATTCTATCCCTTTTCCTGATGATTTTGAGAGCAAAGGATTTTAAACCCACACCAATAGAGAAAAGGCGACACCGCCCCACATTTCATACCTGTCAAAAACCACTGCAGAATAAGCCCGCTCAGCGAAGATGACATCCGCAGCCCAGAACTCCTTAGTGGCCTTCAGACCTCTGCCCTTGCCCTCAGAAGTGAAGACCTCCACGTTCTCCATGCTCCCTATTGTCATCTCAGAGTCCTTTAGGCAGCTCCGTGGGTATTTCACACTCAGCCAAGTCCCTTGTCCTTGCTATTTCAGCACCTTCAGCATCCCAAAGAGCAAGCCTATAAATGGACAAGCACCTCCCCTTCCCTACCCCCTCTCAGCCACTGGGGCCTCACCTCCCCCTCTGCCGTGTTTCCTGGAGGTGGGAATGGGGCAGGCAAGATGACAGTGATCTGACAAGGGTCTCGTTCATCACCCTGCAAAGCTGACAAGGCAGAAATGACCATGGGCTGGTATGCCCCTCGAATGGGGACTGAAAACTTTGAAAAATTCCTTTGCAAGAAGCAGATCAGTTCCGGATGGCAGTTGTGCTCAGCTTTAGTTGGAATAGGGAGCACTTGGTCAGTAGGGTATTTTTAGCAGCCAGATGCCTCTGTCAATCCAAAGCAGACAGCTGAAATGGTCCAAGAGAAGAGGTGATGCTTGCTGCTCTGGGAACTTTCAGCTGTCAGGCTTATACTTTCTCAAGTGTGATGGGCCCCTGTTTCCCTCCCTCCTCCCCCATAGGCAGACTGTTTGCAGAATACAGCAGATGCCAAACTGACCCCCTTGGCAGATACATAACAGTACTATTTAGGCTCCTGGAGGCATCCCTCTTCTCTAGTATTATCTGGTGCTCCCACAGCACCCCCACCCAGGGCATGGAGGTCTGGGAGCTCCCTGATGATGTGGGTGTGCTGGTGGAGGCTGTATTAGAGAGAGGAGGCAGACTTTGAAAAAGAAAACACTCATTTCTATTTTTTTATCAAATTTCCCTGAAACATGTATCTGCTCCCCAAAAAACACCAACATCCTCTTTCTTCTTTCCTAGGAATGAGGACATGGGAAAGGCAATTCTAAAACGTCCATTGACTTAAATTCCACTGTTCTTTTTTTTTTTTTTTTTTTAAAGTAAACTCTGCACCAGATGTGGGGGTTAAACTCACAACTCAAGAGTCATATGCTCTAGCGACTAAGCCAGCCAAGTGCCCCTAACTGCCACTCTTCTTGATTACGAGACAGCCGATATTAAAGTTGAAAAGACAGGGCACCTGGGTGGCTCAGTCTTTGGGTGTCTGCCTTTGGCTCGGGTCATGGTTCCAGGGTCCTGGGATCCGGCCCTGCGTAGGGCTCCCTGCTCAGCGGGGGGCTTGCTTCTCCCTCTCCCACTCCCCTGCTTGTGTTCCTTCTCTCGCTGTGTCTCTCTCTGTCAAATAAATAAATAAAATCTTAAAAAATAAAGTCAAAAAGACAAATACCATATTATTTCACCTACATGTGTAATCTAAAAAAAACAAACAAAGCTGAAACAGACCCACAGATACAGAGAACACATTGGTGGCTGCCAGAGGGGAGAGGGCTGGGGGACTGGGCAAAAGGGGAAAGGGACATGTGGGATTCTGGTTATGGGATGAATAAGTCAAAGGGATGAAAGGTCCAGCACAGGGAATACAGTCAGTGGTACTGTAATAATGTTGTGTGGTGACTGATGGTAACTGCACTTATGAGCACAGGGTAACATACAGAGTTGTCAAATCTCTACATTGTGTGCCTGAAACGAATATAACATTGCACGTCAATGCTACTTCAATTTAAAAAAACAAAACAAGGGGCCCCTGGGTGGCTCAGTCGGTTAAGCAGCTGCCTTTGGCTCAGGTCATGATCCCCGGGGCCTGGGATCAAGCCCTGCAAGGGGCTCTCTGCTCAGCAGGGAGTACTTCCCCCTCTCTCTCTGCCTCTCTGATTACTTGTGTTCTGTGTCTGTCAAATAAATAAATAAAATCTTTTTAAAAAAATAAATAAATAAAATCTTAAAAAAAAACAATGTTGTTTAAAAAAACAATTAATTAATTTAATTAAATCAAGTTAGGTTCCCCAGAGAGTAAACATCACATGTTCCCAAAGGGTGGGGGGGGATAAAAAAAGATTAAAAAGGAGCTCTTCAATCCAGGTTAGCTTCAAATGAATACCTGGACCCACACTGCCGGGCAACTCGGGCCTTGCAGCAACAGGTCTACACTCAGGTGCCCGTGGCTCCGCCTGGGAGGGATTAGGTTGTTTTCTAGACACCATAACCCTGGAACAAGTTCAGCCCCAGCCAAGGTCAAGAAAGAAATCTAGCTGCCCCAAGTTAGAAAGAGAGGGAGCATCAAACCTAATGCTTTATTTATATCTGTGAGTGTCAACCTTATCAAAGCAAGTATTATATTAAAGTGTGGTAGACCGAACAAAGGCCCCCAGAGATGTCCAGGTCCTACTCCCCAGACCCAGGAATATGTTACCTTACATGATAAAAGGAACTTTGCAAATGTGATTAAGGATCTTGAGAGAGAGAGATTATCCTGGATTATCCAGGTGGGCCCAATGGAATCACAAGAATCCTTCTAAGAGGATGGCAGGGGGTCAGAGTCAGAAAAGGAGATATAACAATGGAAGCAAGAGGGTAGAGTCAGAGAGATGTTTGAAGATACTATATTCCTGGCTTTGAAGATGGAGGGATGTGTCATGAGCTAAGAAATACAGGTGGTCTCTAGAAACTGGAAAAGGCAAGGGAACGGCTTCTCTCTCTAGAACCTCTAGAAGGAGAACAGCCTTATTACGCCTTGATTTAAACACAGGGAACCCCATTTCTGGAGTTTGACCACCAACCTGCAGGATAATAAATTTATTTTATTTTAAGCCACTAAGTAATTTGTTATGGCAACAACAGGAAACAAACATATAAAATGTTATCGTTTCACATTCTAATAAATATTATATAACCACCCTTTTGCTACTCTGAAATGAAATGGCATATATAATTCACTAGCTCTTATATCTAAAAAATATAAATTATTAATCCTGTAGTCTGAATGTTTGTGTATCTTACTCCCCTCCGTCCCATCCCAAATTGCAAAATGTTGAAAGTCCTCATCCTCTAAGGTAATTGTCTTAGTAAGTGGGGCCTTTAGGAGGGGCTTAAATCATGAACATGGAGCCCACATGACTAAGAAGCTCCGGAGAGGTCCCTAGGCCCTTCTGTTAGGTGAGGACTACAAACGACCTGGAAGAGAGTCCTCACCTAACTGTGCTCATGCCCTGGTCTTGGACTTCTAGCTTCCAGAACTATAAAAAATAAATTTCTGTTCTGCATAAGCTACCCAGGCTGTGATATTTTGTTATCGTAGCCCAAATGGATGAAAACATTTCCCTAACCTAATAAGGGAGAAATAAAATTAAAGTCAGCTTATAATAAAATAATATATATTCATGGTAAATTAAATATGTCAGTGAGCTCATTATATATACACTCAGGCACAACCACAGTAGAACACATGATAACGTGTTCATATGTTTGCACCTCCACGTAGAATCGCTGTGATAGTAACAGCTAAAAGTGTAGACTGATTTTGGAGACACAAATACCACACAGGCCACAGCTGTCTGTGACATGATTTTTCTGAAATAGTGAATGATTCTTAGTTAAGTTCTAAACGAAAGCAAGCATAATCCTTCAGTTAACAAGAGGCTGCCTTCCTGGAAGATTTAGCTTATATTAAAATGACTCTGGGGGCACCTGGGTGGCTCAGTTGGTTAAGTGACTGCCTTCAGTTCAGGTCATGATCCCGAAGTCCCGGGATCCAGTCCTGCATCCAGCTCCCAGCTTCATGGGGAATCTGCTTCTCCCTCTGACCTTCTCCCCTTTCATGCTCTCTCTCTCACTCTCACTCTCTCTCTCTCTCTCTCTGCCTTAAATAAATAAATAAAATCCTTTTTAAAAAAGATTCTATGATTACATATAAAACAGAATTCTAGACTCTGATAATTATAATCAAAGTTTCACCCACCTAAAATGTACATCTGTATATTTGAGGTTGTGAGGGCCAGGCAAAGAATCTTCAATGCATAAGGCTGCTTCTTGCTTCTAAGGATATCCTGCATCTCTGGACAGGACCAGCGAGCAAGGGGACAGTGGCTCTAGTTATTAGCTGGTGACATGGAAGGGGACATGTGGCCCTGCTGCACTGCTCATCAACCTAAATCCTATATAAAATTTTTTGCTCACCTATGCCCCTCTGGATTCTCCCACTGGGATCCAAACCCTTTTGTGATCCCAGTCCTACACACAATATGCCAGTAGCATGGCACAACCAGAAGTTCCCCCCCAACACACAGTTTCTAAAATGCCCCCCTAAGTGGTGGGACTGCCTTCATGAGAACTGCTGGTCTTCATTATCAGGAAAAACCCATCTAGAGTTTTGGAAGGATTCCTTATTGCCCAACTGGAGATGTTTAGCAGACAAGATTCAGGAAGAACATATGAGTTTTCTTCAACATCACATACTGAGGTATGGAAAAAACAGATTTATTCTACGTTTCCTCAGAGATCAAACTCAGGGCCAGAGCAGACATAACCACGTGACAGATTTGAGCTTCATAGTCCTTAAAAGCTATGCTTCTGTGAAGCCCTTTCCTGCTCCAAGAAGATGGAAACTTTTTCCATTGTTAATGATTTTCATAGCCATCCAGTCTCTTTCTTTGGCGTGTCTGAAGAAGGGTGTTGACAAAGGGAGAAAAATGGGGCAGCTCAAGCCAGAGGACTCCTTGCCTGGGACAGAGATTTGAGCTGGGAGATTTCAGACAAGAGGATGACAGGAATAACCACTATGGTTCTATTTACCTCTATGTCAGCTGAACTTCCCTTGCACTTCAGGCCACACATATGTGCCTAGAATGTCACTATGGCTACCAAGTACTCCCGCACCCTAAAAAAGGTATAACGAAACTTGCAGAAGATGCTGGACCAGGGTAATGTCGGGTTCTGTCATGCACCTTAAGGGTAGAAGAAGGTGACACGAAGAGGCCAAGAATGGGGGCTATTTTGGAGTTTTAAGTATATCAACACTTGGGCTTCAAGCATCCTCTGAATATGAGCTCCACTTATTAACCTGTATCTTGGTTAGCAGCTGTTCCCAGATTCCAAGCTGCAGCCCGCAAATCTTTAGCCACCGCCTGTATTCACATTATTTTCCTCCTGAGCCCTTGAGCAAATAATCTCAGAGGACTTGAGAATGGTTGTGTTCCCTTCAGTTGGATATGCAAAGAAGGAATACGTATAAGTAAGTATGAAAGTGGCAATATAAATGAAACCCAGAGGAATGATTCTGAAACACCGGGACAGTTTGTAAGCCTGCATTAACATGGCAGTGGCTCATTTACCATACACTACGGAAAAACTCCAATGATCCTTTGTATTGGAAAGACCAGCTCTCTAGGCCACACACCTACAAGGGACCTCCATCTAGTGGCAAATCAAGAGAACTGCAAGATTTCTTTACTAAAAGAACAGCCCTTGATCACTGGATTCCACCTCCTTTGTACCTGGGGATAAGGTTCATTTCTGCCAGATCAACAAGTTTTCTTTGAGACCTTGAACTAAGAATGGTTTGTACCTTCTTTAATAGTTGTGGGTAAAAGTCAAAAGAAGAGTATGTTGTGACACATGGAAATTATATCAAAGGTAAATTTCAGTGACCATAAATAAAATTTTATTAAACAACAGACATACTAGGAGCACCTGCCTGGCTCAGTCGGTGGAGCACGACACTCCTGATCTTGGGATAGTGAGTTCGAGCTCCACACTGAGCATGGAGTCTACTAAAAAAGAAAAGAAAAGAAAAGAAAAAAAGCCATACTCATCTGTTTACATATTTTCTATGGCTGTTTTCACACTGTAACAGTGAAGTTGAATACTTGCAACAAAGACCATATGGCCCACAAAGCTGAAAATATTTACTATCTGGCCTTTTACAGACAATGTTTGCCAACTCCTGCTTTAAACTGATAATAACTTAATGTCTAGCAACATTAAATAAGCCGGGGGCTGCTCATTGCTTTCAAGTGCATTCACTGGCTGATTCATTTATTTCATAATCACTAAGAGGGACAGAATCAAAGAAAATCTGCTAGATGTGCACATTTAACACTCACATTCCATAATGACAGAGGCAGGTTTCCTCTTTAACAGTCCATTATATCCTGTATAATTACATCACTGGCAAAATTTCAAACTCTCTGGGCTCTGTGTTCTTAATAAAATAGCATGCTTGCTTCCATCCCTCTTCCTTTGGCCCCAAGAAATCCTTGGCTGCATTTTCTTCCCAAGAATCCCTAAATTTTCTCATTCCACATGCATTTATTAGCACATGTATCAGGCACTGTGCTCAGTGCCCCGAAATAAGATGAATAAATGTGAGCACTGTCTTTAAAGCCTTGTGAACACTGACCATTTAGAGATAATTATGGAAGAGCATGTAAAAATGGTGAGAGAGATACAGGAAGCAAAGGGGAAAGGATATCCAGGGCAGCCTGAGAAGTCAGGAAAGGCTTCAGAGACGTAGGCAACAAAGATAAGAAGGCAGGGAGACAACCAGAGCTGAAGGTGACTATTTCAGCCCCACGGACATAGCAGCATGAGTGGAGATGTGGAGATAAAGAAAAAGCATGATGTGCAGACAACTACAATGAGTTGGGTATTGCAGGAGCTACAGAAGCACACATTTTCTGTTTACCATTGAAGCACCAGATTATTGCCTTTATGTCCCAGTGTTTCATAACATTTGAAGGTTTTTCTAACAATAAATGTTTGAATGTGTGAAATTGTGCTTTATTAACATTACTCATGGTTTTCATAATACCCTTCGAAGTGGGTATTATTGAGGCTTCTAGTTAAAAGGCAGCAACATCTCTTAAGTATAAACCTCAGAGAAACTCTCACATGTGTGCACAAGACTACATAAGAACATTAAAGTAGCACTAGCTATAAAAGCAAAAATGGAAAACAAGTTCAATGTCCATCAATAGGAGAATGGATAGCTCACAGTGTAGTCATGCAATGAAATGTTATAGAGCTGTGGAAGTGAATGAATTAGAACCTCACATCTCAGCATATCTGCATACCAAAACAGAATAAGTGAAAAAAGTAAGTTGCAGGGGAATAAACAGTATGTATAATGACATTTATGTAAAGTTTTAAATCATGCAAAGTAATACTTCATGTTACTTAGGGATAGATATATATGTAACAAAAACATTAAGAATGAATGAGAAATGCTGAATTCAGGATACAATTTACTTGTGGAAGGAGGAGGAGTTCATTAGGAAGTAGGGAGTAGACATTCCAGAAGAAGGAGCAGCATACACAATAAACTGAGTCATGCAACAGTTTGGTATTTATAGGAATCAGTAAAGATTTAATGTTGCTAAGTCATAAAGTGAAAGCAGGGTGGGAAGGTGACAGCAGTAGGAAGATAATGAGATCAAGGTGCACAGAAGCCCAGGAGTACTTGTCTAATTTGACTTTCTCCAATAGACTATGGAGAGCCAGGAATGACTTCTGGATAGAATCCTTTGGCAGCAGTAATGAAGAGTAGATAGGACTGGTGAAGTCAGAAGCGTAAGCTGGGCATCTGTTGCCATGATTCTATTAAAAGATGATGAGCACCTGAAACTAACCAATGGCAGTATGACAAGAAGGGAGAGTCTACTCAAGAGAAACTTGCACAGCTACCAGGAGACAAGCCCATCAACAGGAAGATGGGTGGAATATTGTACACTTGGATGATCCTCCAAGTGTTGAGTGAAACAAGTTCTAGAATACTGCACAGAGAAAGATTTAAATCTTAGGAAATTCAAAAGTAAACGTTTTTTAGCTACACGCTTGTGTGATAAAGATTTATATACAAAAGGAAATGAGGACAAGCCAGCGCAGTGATTTTTCTTTGGGAGATGGGGAATGAGATGAGGTGAGGTTGTGTATGTGTGTGTTTGTACACACGCATATACTGAAGGAGGCGAGACAAAAAGTCATTGACGGACCAATGACGACAACGTATCATGACCAAGGCTTCGGCTTACTCTAACTCTGTACATTAAAGACCCTAACAAGAAAAAGACATTTAAAGGAGATTATGTATTTCTCAGATACTCTGAAGGAAGAATCCAGAGGTTTCCAGGTTTTTTCTTTCTCAGTCGGTTTTTGATTCACTCACCCCAGGTGACCCGCCGCACCCGTTCTCCCTGACCTCGAACGAGGAGCGGAAAGCACCCCGCAGAAGAACACGAGTACCGAGGGGGGCGAGTCCCGGAAAAGTCGAGAGAAGGGGGCGGGGCTAAAGGCCCTCTCTGGAAGTGGGGCGACCCGCGCAACCGCAATAGCGCGCTTTGCCGCCATGGCGCCGGCGCCGTCCAGTCAGTCGCCGGTGGTGGCGGAGACTTCCCCTCAGGAAGCCGGGTCTCCGCCTCCTCCCCTAACCCCGCCTGCTCGGCGGTGGAGGCGGCGGTGGCGGCTGCGCCTGTCCCTGCCTCTCCGCCACCTCCACCCCGGCCTATTCCCCGGCTGGCGGCGTTGGCGGGGAGGGGGAACAGTAGTTGTAGACGCCCGCCCCTGCCTCAGAGAAGGTGAGTTCCCGCCCCGGTGGCGGGGGCGGCCCCGTCTTCAGCCCTTCAACTCCGCGGCCCAGGGACGGCTGTGCGCGCCCCGAATGTGCGTCATGGCCGACCGCGTCGAGGGCCGGAGTCCGTCCGCTCCCCTCACCACCCGCCGCTCCTGTAAAGGGGCGCCACGGCCCTCAGGTGGAGCGCGGAGGGGAGAGAGACGCCTCAGCACGCTCAGGATGCTGAGGATTGAGGGGGCAGAGAGGTGGCCAGGTAGAAGCCGACCTGGGACTGTCAGGGAAAGGGTAGCGGGATTGACGAGGAAGTTCCGAAATGAGGAGAGAAAGAGCCGGAGACGCGCGAGCGTGGAGACCTCGGCTGGGTGCCATTCAACATCCGGGAAAGTAGGTACTTAGGCAGAAGTGGAGTCAGGACTTCGCCGAGAAGCCGGAAGTACCCCGAGAGGTTAAAACTGCGGGGGGGTCTGAGGGAGGAGAAGAGGGGCAAGAGTTGTGAGACGCCCCTTTGGAGAGTTTTTCTAGGCTTTTTGAGGGTAACACCCTGAAAAACAGCTTCTTCGATTTATAGGCCTCTCTTGTTAGTGGCCTGAGTTCAGTACGGATCTACCAGTGTCCAAGACAGCAAAGCGGCCATTAATGAGAGCGTTGAAAAACAAATTTTATTCAGAAACTGCCCACTGTAGGGGAAAGAGCTGAGCGCGGTTCGTATTTGCTCAGAGCTGACTGGGAGTTTAAAGGGATAATGAGGGACTGGAGGAGAGGTGGAAGAGGAGTCAGGGAAGTGAAGTTACAAAGGGTTGTTCCTTGTGGATGCTGTTAAGCCAGCAGCGTCTGTTGGCTGGAAAGTAAGGAAGTTAGGATTCTGTCCTCCCGCAGCCACTGGGGGACCCGACTTAGGCCTCTCCTTCCTGATGATTACACTTGAAAAGAATGGCTTCCAGGTCTTTGAGAAGGACGCTTCTGAGTTGGAGGAGGTACACATCTGTCTCAGACCGGAAGGATCCACAATCCAAAGCCCCTTTTGGTTAAGCACTCTCAAAAAGAGAGGTTGGGGGCCTGTCATCAGGTGTCGGCTCTAAAAACAGTACATGGATTTTGACAGCCCTGAGCTTTTTCTAGCAGGAGCTCCTAAGGGGGCTGGGTCATCCCAGGGGTTCAGCCTTAAGCTGCTGGAGGCCGTGCTAAAGTTTGGTCAAGTGCTCGTGCAGGAGTTTGGAAGGAGTGTTTCTGCCCCAAGTTTTCACAGTTCTCACCAACACGTTTCCCCTAACACAAAAAGCTATTTCTTGATCATCTCAACCTAACAGATGTTTGAGTTCTTACAAGTACTTTATGCCTGTGAACAGCCTGCTTGTTCCAAACTAGGAGGTAAGGCTGTAAGGCAGTTTTGGAGAGGATTCTAGATGGTGGAGCTTGATCACATTGCAGATCTCACTCAGTGAAACATTTAACCATCTTCATTTTCATAATTTTTTAGTATTTGCTGGGTTGCCTTATGTTGCTTTTTGTCTCCAGAATAAAGATGGTGAAAGCCAAAATATTATAGAATAATTTAGTTTCCTTTTTTTCTGGAGAGACATCAGTAAATAACCTCATGAAAATAATTTCGTTTTCACCTTCTTTCATGATATATTCTACTTTTCTGTGCTATTCCATAATCTTACATATTTCACTTTGATGGAATGGCAAAGTAAAAAAAAAAAAGAAAAAGTATATATTTCTTAAAACATTTTTGTAAGCACCTTATATAAATTCCATACACTAAAAATGGAATTTGTCATTGCAACCAAATGCTGTTCTATTAAAGGTCTCTTAGTGAAGGCAACCTTTGGAAGACTAGATTTAGTGTCTTCAGTCAGCCTAGGTTATGACATCTGAGATTTTTAAAAATCTGGATTTATTTGTTTTCATACCAAACTTACTGCCTCTTAACCAACAAGTAAGCCTAAGCAGTTTATAGATGTCAAGACTACAGTTCAATTTGGCTCTCATACCCAGATCACAGAAGACCTAGAAATAGTTTCTCATGGAAAAACAGTTTTTGCCAGATGACATTTTGTGTGTGTGTGATGACTTTGAATGTGTGCAGTTACTTTATACAGCGTCAGTTCACACAATGCTAGCAGTAACCTTTCCATGCAACTTAAAGGTGGCATAATGAGAGTACTGGAATAGAAATCTTAACAAGTAATAGGTTGTAGTGTTAGTTTGTCCATTAGCTGTATGAACTGAGTAAGTCCCAAACTTCTCTTTCAAACTCAAAGTCCCAAATTTCTTTTTTGAGTTTTGTCATCTGTCGGGAGAGAGAATTGGATTAGCCCAATTGAGTGGGTCTCAGCCAGGGGTTATTTTGCACCCACACCCCAGAAGATACTTGGCACTTTCTGGAGACATTTTTGTTTCCACCAGTGGGGAAGAAAGGGCATAGTGAGCATAGGAGTTACTTGCCATCTATTTGATATAGGGCAGAGATGTTGCAAATATCTTGAAATGGACAGGGCCGTCTCACCTCCACCCCAACAAAGGATACTCCTACCCCAGATGTCAGTAGTGGCAAGGTTGAAGACCTCTGCACCAACTGAACTCGGAGGTCCTTGACAGCATTAAAATTATGAACTGACTTTACAGTTCTATGTTGATATTCTTGATTTGGCTGTGTACTAGAACAGCAGTTCGTAAAACATGAAACTTCAACCTATAATGGTTATCAGATGACATTCAAAAGAGTGATGAAATCTGAGTTAAGACTGAGACCATTCACTAGGATTTGAAAAGATATAATTCGTCACCTAAAAAATTACCTCTTGTCACTTTATTTTGGGTAAATATCCTTCATTAACTGTTCAGTTATCTGCTATCTAACAAATGACTAATATTTGGTATATTATACTTTTTAAAACAATGATAGGAATCAGTACTTTTTTTTAAAGATTTTATTTGGTTTATTTGACCGAGCACACAGGTAGGGGGAGCAGCAGGAAGAGGGAGAAACAGGCTCCCTAAGCTTAAGCCTTAGGGCTAGATCCTAAGACAGATGCTTAAGGAGCCACCTAGGCACCCTGAGGCAATGTATTTTTAGTTGAGATATTTGTAAAAGCCCTAAATAATTGTCAGTCAAGATAGTACAGAAACAAGAAGTAGGAAAAAAAAGCCTGTTGCTTGTTACTTATCCAGTATTTTTTTTTCTTGAAAGACAGAAGATTCATCCAAAAGGTGTGAAAGAGTTATCATGCATCCAGTTACTAAAATTCCAGTCACTTTCAAGATCCTGATAGGACAATTAAAACTGATTTGAAGAACATCTTCTAATTCATTTTCACCTATAGCTGTAACACTCCAAAGAGGAGCTCTTCTGTATTGGACTTAATAATGAACAGATGTAAGGATTAAATATTGGCAAGCAGGAAATATACACAAGGTATAAGATTACAAATAGGAAATTGAGAAAGTAAACTCAGTCACCAAAAAATAATACCACATGACCAGACTTATATGAAAAGAAATATACATAGAATTTATGGTGAAGTTGTCATAAGATTTTCCAGGACACTGTAATTCATTCAGTGATGTTCCTCAAATATTTTTGACAGAAAATTTTTCACCTGGTAGTGATATTCCTGAGGGATCAGTAAAAACAACACTGCAACAAACAATTCTTGCTTATTTGCTTCTCTTTAAGAAAAAAAATTAAATGGACTCAGTTTTAGAATAAAGGATATTTTTGACTCCTTATTGAATCATTAACCCATTTACATAGCACTTGCCTAAAAGTGTTTTCCTTTTGTTTTCACGATACTAAGCAGAGATCTGGATCAAATGACAAAATCTAGCTAATAGCTAACATGTTGATATTTATTCAGAAAACATTTATTGAGCTCTTGCTATGTACCAGTTATCTGCTTAGTACAAGGATATACAGATAATTAGGTACTGCCCTTTTTTTTTTTTTTTAAGATTTTATTTATTTATTCAACAGAGAGAGATCACAAGTAGGCAGAGAGGCAGGCAGAGAGAGAGAGGAGGAAGCAGGCTCCCCACCAAGGAGAGAGCCCAACGCGGGGGCTCGATCCCAGGACCCGGGGATCATGACCTGAGCTTAAGGCAGAGGCTTTAACCCTCTGAGCCACCCAGGCGCCCCAGGTATAGCCCTTTTAAAGAACTTGGTAGTAGTAGTGTTTGTTAGTGAAGTTAGAAAAAGAAAGAAAAATGGAGAAAAACGCAGTGTTTCTTTTAAACACACTAAAAGTTCATTTCTCTCTCAGGGCACCTGGGTGGCTCAGTGGATTAAAGCCTCTGCCTTCTGCTCAGGTCATGGTCCGGGGGTCCTGGGATCTAGCCCCTTGTAGGGCTGTCTGCTCAGCAGGGAGCCTGCTTCTGCCCTCTCTCTGCCTACTTGTGATCTCTGTCAAATAAATAAGTAAAATCTTTAAAAATAATAATAATAAAATAAAAGTTTATTTCTCTCTCAAATTACAGTAAAGGTACGTGCTCCAGACCTGGCATGGCTGCTTTGCCATTTCTGACACACAGCTTCCATCTGTCAGTCTGAAATGGCTGCAGAGGAAATACAGGATAGTAGTGTAAGGCAGTCAGATTCTCCTTGGTGGGTGGGAGGAGACAGGTTAATAAAGTGGGTAAGAGATAGCAGGATAAGCACATTGAAGAAAGTGCAGGTGTAAATGTAGATTAGCCAGGACTCCTGGAATAATCAGAAGTCGTTCATTGTTTTATGTGAATCTGTGCTCTGCTCGAGATGTATTTGCTACATGCACACCAGAGCATGTTGTAAATCTAATACTGACAGCTGGATAGAATGGTTGGGGAGGAAGATGTCTGGAGAGACATTAATGATTATTTGTGATTTTCGGATTTGTTGCCTTTATTAGCTGTCCATATATAAGAATGGTGACTAAGCATGTTAAAACAAATAACAAGATTTCATCTACTATATTCATTAAGTATATGTTAGGACATGAGCATTGGGGTTTTTCCCCCTTATAGACC